CACCGACGTAACCGGAGGGGATTTGGGGAGTTACGCAGGTTAGCGAAGCCGTGTTCCCACCCTGCTGAAGGTCCCCGCTTCAAGGCAATCAAACAATCACAGCCCCCGCTTTTTTTTAAAGCAAGCCATACTTACAGAGAAACCGTCTGACATTTTTCCTAAAACAAAAAGACAAAGGACGCTTAAGTCATTTTAAACATACACCATCTGAAAAATAGAGATTTTTTTGAGAAGAGTTACAGTTTACGGTGACAACGGGCTGGCAATTGGTACGTCCCCGTTGCGTACCCACCAGGCAGAGCTGACAGCTCCGGTACCGCGGAACAAACCCTCGTCTGATACCTGCGGGAGAAACGGAGGGTCACCGCCACGACAGCCTGAACGGCTCCGGGGCTGAATCCAGCCCAAACACCCTCCGGATGAGATCGGCCGCTGTGGGGTTGGTGTTGATGCAACACCGTCGTTGACACAACGCCATCATTGACACGCCATCATTGACCCTACAGTGCTGCTGGTGTCAAGCAGAGAGGGGACACCAGACCGCAGGGACATGGTGCTGCTCCGTCCCCAGAGCTCTGGGCTCCCTCCAGCCTCTCGAAGGGTTTTCACCGGGTTTTTCCTCTTCGCTGACCGGGAAGCCTCGCACGCGGTATCACGAACCGCACGAGCGCTCTCGTCCTCTGAGAACCACGGGTCAACGTGGAGCTCTGCATTTCATCTACCCAAAAAAGTACGCGGGTCTGCTGCGCTCACAAGTCAGGAAGATTTATTTCAGCCTCAAAACACTTTTTATAAAGGAAAAAAAAACAAAACCAAAACCCAAAAGGGCAGCACTGGAGGCAGGCAGGGCCCTTTCTGAGGGGGTGCTGGCGATGTGGCGGGGACATGGCCACACACGCAGAGCCACCTCCCTGCCACCTCCGGGCCAACGCAACGGCATCACCCACCCATGTCACGGGCGCAGTTTTGTCCTGACGCCGGCGCAGCCAGCGTCACTCACTTCCCCGCCCCCGAGGCATCATCCCAAAAAAGATCTCAATTAAAAAAACCCCCAAACAAAATCCCTGGGGGGGGCCGTA